CAGGGAGCCCGATGTGGGACTCGATCCCGGGACTCCAGGATCATGACCTGAGCCGAAGGCAGTCGCTCAACCAACTGAGCCACCCAGGCGCCCATAACCAAATCTAATTCTTATATAAATCTTTATCATCAAGAATTGACAACAACAAGAACAATCTTCAGGAAATTACATTTGTTAGTAAGCACTCTGATTGATAAGACCCGAAGTAATGAACAAATTATGAAATAAGAAAAGCAATAAACTCCTAGAGAAATCTCCAAAAGCCTTAATTCTTCAAAGGGAACACAGACAGCCCCAAATTATATGAGCTCTGCTGGTTTATTCCTAGTTCTTTTACTGCTCCTTCTCTGACTCTTTCACTGTATCCTCTTTCTTTCTCTGCCCCTAAATATCGCTGTTCCTCATGGCTGGTTGCTATTTTTCTCACAAAGCAAGTGGGTTACTTTAAAAAAAAAAAATTTTTTTTTTTAAGATTTACTTATTTTAGAGAAAGCATGTGTGCACGTGGGATGGGGGAGGGGCAGAGGGAGAGAGACAGCATCTCAAGTAGGCTCCCCGCTGAGCGCAGAGCCCACCACGGGGCTCAATCCCATGTCCCTGAGATCATGACCTGAGCTGAAATCAAAAGTCAGATGCTCAACTGACTGAGCCACGCAGGCGCGCTGCAAGTAGGTTGTTTCTGTCCATGTTTATTGGCGAGGGATCTCAAAACAAACAAATTGTCTGAACTCAAATACCCAGGAAAGTAGTTGAAAAGAACATGGTACATGTTACCATCAGAATGGAAGCTGTACAGCTGGGCTCAGGGTGTGAATTCACAATCACTAGACAGAAAGGCTCCCCACCAGTAAGTGCCAGCTCTGACCCGATCATAGTACCAACTATCCACTGTTACTGTTCATCTGGATTTCCTTTCTTTTTGACAATGAAATGGTATATAACTCAAGTTATTTAAGAAGAGATATCCAAATGCTCTCTGGACCCAACTGGAACATGGTATAAAGAAACTGAGGGCACTAAATCCAGAGGAAAGTCAATGAAGTCTGAGTTGCAAACAAAGTTGAAAATCAGAAAAATTGTTTAAAAAATAATTGTTTTAAAATTAGCAATAACCTAAGTTTTAAAACCCCAGATTATATCAACATAAATTAGAAAAAGTAAATGAGTGGGGAAAAAGTTCCAAAACCTCAATTAATAGGTTGATAATTACAGAACTACAGCTCCCAAAACCTTTTTAATGCAAAAGGTACCCAATTTTACTTAAGACAGTGGGGAAGCCAGGTGAAGAAGGCTATGTGGGAATTTTTTGTACAATTTTTGCAACTTTGCTGTAGATTCGAATTATTTGAAAATGTAAAGTTAAACATTTTTCAGTGTAGTTTTAAGAGGTAGCCATTGGGAATATTAAAAATCGGATTAATACTTTTCAAAATATAAGTGAAAGCAAAGCAAAGCAAAGACAGTAGTAAAGGAAAATGCAGAGCACAAATGAAGCCCCATAGAATTATATGTGTAATTCTAATACTTGTTCTAGCCATTGCTCTTCATCCATTTTGTAGATGTCCAAAGCAAGGCAAACTTCCCTATCAAGAGCTAGCCTGATTTATAACTGATTATTTCCCTGTTCTTTCAGCAGATTTGCTCCAACAGTGGGTTACTATGGTGGCAATAGGTGGCAGCTGGTTACCATGGTGACCGTAGTAATCTAAAGGAGACTGTAGTCTATGTGCCAATTTCTGTTCAACTGCTTTCACAGCATACTTAACTTAATCTTCAGGACCATCTTGTGAAGTAGTTTTTACCCCAGTTCATAAATGAAGAAATTGAGGCTCAAAGAGGCTTTTGGGGGGGGGGTTGTTTGTTTAAGAAAAAAAACTGCCTCTATTAAATAACTTGTAAGCAGGAGAGGTCACTTGGAATCCAGAATAAGGTTCCAAAACTCGGGCTCTCCTCACTCTGAGAGGGCTCCAGGCTTACCAGCGTCACCTTGAAGCAATCTACTGACCACTCACTAACATGCCCCCAAGAAAACCAGGGGTGTCCTTGAACGTCGAGACTTCCCTTCTGCTGAAAGAAGAACACCCTACATGCTACGATCTGGGAACCATCTAAAGTGTTCCCCAAAGGAAAAAAGAGGCATATTCCGTACAGTGCATTGACCTTGCTCTCTGAACACTCAGTGAGACACACAAAGAGTTAGACAGTAAGTACTGGGTCAGTAAGCACCATCCTGACATCTGCAAAGGTGGACATACAAATCCCAATGATGATAACCTGGTTTATGATTCTAGGCTAAACACGTAAACAAGAACTTCAAAGTGCAGAGGTGACAGCCATCACCACTTTAACAAAAGATGTATCCGGAAGGTCAAGCTTCAACTCCCTACACTTCCTCCCCTGCATCGCCCAAAGCTCACCTGTATTTGCACCTGTCCTCACCCTCTTCCTCTCCTCTCAGAAGAACGGCAGCTTTCCCTTCCCTCCAAGGCTCTTAGCCTCTGTGGGCTCTACGGCCTCTTCTCTACCAGTGATTTCCCTACTAGCTACTCTCTTTAATCACTGGCCACTGATTCTTTGCCTTCAATTTATTTTTAAAGTAACTTTCTGTTTTCCCTACCTTCCCCTCAAGCCTCTCTCTTGAGTTACTCACCCAAAATATTGTTGAAAGTATCATCTTCACTGATAGTAAGCTGTGTAGACGTGTCTTTATCCCCCACTACTGTTAAATTCCAATCTAATTTTGACCAGAATCAGTGTGCTAAAACCACACATCTCACTCCCTTCCACTGCTCCCCAAAGGTACCTGCTCCCAAGAATTTGGTGTGAACCCTTCTGGTCCATTTTTAAAATACTTCTGTGATACATAGATATGAACATGGAAGTACTGTATTTTGAGGGTTTGATTTTACACATTTGGTATCACACTATGTGTATTATTCTGCAACTTGATTTTTTTTTTACGCAACATTATGTTTTTGAGCTCTCTCCATGCTGATCTAGGTCATGCATTTTACATGTTGCTCACTCATTCTTCTCCTGATGGACATTTAGAATGTTTCCAATTTTCTGCTACTAAAAGCAGTGCCTATAATGAACACCCTCCTTGTACAGGCACGCAGACTTTCTCGGAATGCACACATCCAAAAGTGGAATGAACTACTAAATCACATGGTACACATACTTGCAATTTTAGTAGATACTTCCAGATTGTTCCTCATAATTCACTTGCACCAATGGCGCACGACCATTCTCATTCTCACATAACCTTGCCGACACTTGATAATGTCAGACTTTTACATTTTTGCCGACTTGGTTGGAATAAAATAGAGTTCCATCTCATCACCACTGAGGTTCAATACCTTTTTCATATGATATTCAATTTTTTCTTTGAGCTACTTTGTCATCTCTCTTTTGCCTGTTTTCATATGGGACTTACTTTTTTTAAATAGTAGCTTATCTTTATCTATTCTGCATACTAATCCTTTATATATCGCAATTATACGTTTCTATGCATATAATTATCTTCTCTCAAACTTTATGATGTTAGGCATCAGTATGTCACAAAAGCAATACATGTGATTCTGATGTGAAAACAAGCTTGAGAAACTTCGCCTCTAAAAATACTTCAGAACACCACTCTCAGTAGCAATGAAATGATAAACATTTCAGAATAAAAAATGGGACACAGGTATAATGCTGCAATTTTAACTGGCCTTATTTCATATTAGCAAGAAGTCACAAATGCAGAAGAGGTTAAAAAAAAAATCTCACTGTGGATTCATGTTACATTTCTTTAGTTTCTCTTCCAGTTCAGGTAAATCTCGGAGATCTGCTCCAATAATGGCATATCTCTTTGAATCCAACAGGTGTCCATCTGCAAATCCAAGAAGAGATTATCATTTCAACAGAAATTAACCAAAAAATTATAATTTCAATGGGTATAGTTCTTTCAAAATTAAAGTAAACTTATTGTTTTTCTCCATTATAAAAATACATGCTCTGTTGTGGGGGAAAAAAAAATCAGGAATGAACAGGGGAGAAATGAACTAAAATCATACCTTCCAGAGATAACTATTAGTATTTGAGTGTAGAACATCCCGGTCCTTTTTTCTATGTGCTTAAACTCATATATACAACATAAACACATTCTCATACAAACATACACACACACCTCACACAGAAAAAGGCAAACAGGGCCAATTCTTTCAGAAACTGCTTTTCCTATTTAACAGTAATATCAATGACATCCTTCGCTGTAATGATTTCCTAGAATTCCATGAGTGGATAAAACAACTTACTCAACCAATCTCTCACTATCAGGCATGTGGTATTTCCAAGTTTTCTCCATCTGAGGCACTGCAATGAACATCTTTATATAGACATCATGAAGCACCTGTCAAATAGGTCCTAGGAGTGGAATTAGGAGGTCAAAGGGTAAGCCTATGTAAATAATGGTACCGATTGGCTGGCTGGTCTCTAAATGTTGTGCCAATCTGTGAGATACTGTGTTTAAAGGAAAATTGTCTCTATACTAACATATTTACAAATAAAATGATAACATTTGCTTTAAAATACTCCAGCAGAGATTGGATGGAATGGTTTTTATACTGGTTCTCAAGCTTTGGCAGCCATCAGAATCACCTGAAGGACTTGTTAAAACACAGACTGATGGGCTCCACTCCCTGAGTTTCTGATTCAGCAGATCTTTCAAAAGTAGAAATTTTTTCAAATTCTTTTAAAAGTTAGAAACCTGTATTTCTAACAAGTGCTTAGGCCGTGTTGATGCCCCTGGTTTAGGACCAACTTTTAGAACCACTGGTACAGATGAAGTTGGTCATAGTTAAAGTTAGATGTTGGGTACGTGGAGGTTCACTGATTTATTTTTATGTATGCCTAAAAATGTCAATTAAAAGTTTAAAAAATGGATTGTAATTTTTTTTTTAAAGATTTTATTTATTTATTTGACAGAGAGAGACACAGCAAGAGAGGGAAAAAAAGCAGGGGGAGTAGGAGAGGGAGAAGCAGCCTTCCCCGTGGAGCAGAGAGCCCAATATGGGGCTCGATCCCAGGACCCTGGGATCATGACCTGAGCCGAAGGCAGACACCTAACGACTGAGCCCCAAAAATGGATTGTAATTTTTTAAAAAAAGGAAACTGCTTGGTTGTTTACCCGAAGCATTTCTTGCTCAGCTTCCTCAAGGGTACAAACCATGGAAGGAACTGGAACATCCAACAGCCATTCTATATTGTTGCTAATAGCTCAGGTTCTCTCAGCTCTGAGAGGTCACAGTAGAAAAAGGGAAAGAGGCTAAACCATAGTGTCTGAAAACTCTCATGATGCTGATAACCCCATTCAGCTGACTCAAATACACTGGGCCACACACCATAAGCTAAAAGATGTACCTCCTAGGAACCTGCTAGATATCAGGCATGCAGGGAAACCCGAAGTTGGAGCCCCAGGTGCCACAATGCCCAAGTCAGAAAAGGAATACAAAGACTATGAAGGCACTTGTCTGCCCTATTATGAGATCAAATAATGATTCCCAAATACCTGTGCACCTTCTTGCAAATAGCGTACATGCTACTAAAAAGTGTGCTTGGAGTGAGTTATTCCATCCCTGATCAAAAAAAAAAAAAAGAGTTGAGATGTACTACAAAAACACCAACACATTCGTTCATTTGACCATTCAGGTGTGTATATATTTAACCAACAATCTCGGCATGCCAGGCACTGTTCTAGGTGCTGGGGACACAGTGATGAATAAGAGACAGGTCGCTGCCTCTCATAAGGCTTACCCCCGCAGAGGAGGGAGAGAGCCAATGAATCATTAAAGAAAGGAAGAATTAAAAGAATATCAGAGTATTAGGTGCTAAGAAGCAAATAAAAGGTGATTAAAAAAAAGAGTAGGAGGGACAGTGTTCAGTCTTTCACCTGGTGGTCATGGAGGGCTTCTCAGAGGAGGCAGTAGCTAAGCTGAGACAGAGGTGATCAGAAGGAGCCTGGCAGGCAAAATTAGGGGAAAAGAGTTCCATGGTAGAAGGAAGTGGAAGATCCGAAGATGACAGTCAGGCAACAGCAGGACAGTGTGGCCAGATCAGAGTTACTGTAGTCAAAAGTAAAATCAGGAGGCAGACGGAGGAATGCTTAACCATGTGGATCCCAAACAGTGGGAAGATTTAAACAGGGGAGTAAGAGAACCTGATTTACTCCTTCTGACTTACTTTTCACTGGGTGCCCATTTATATACTTTGAGTTTTCCTCCCCAGGCATAGTTCAGCTTAAAAAAAAGTGTCAATTCAAAGATGCGTATTTTTTTTTTCACTTTAACATTCATGAAATCAGGATGCATCAAATAGTCAAGAAACACCAGTTTAACTTGCCAGCACTTTGTGTTTCCTAATGATAAAGAAATAGTAGTGAATCTTACAATCACAGCCTCATAGGTTTGATGAAGGAAGGTAATGTTTCAATGAAATTTGTGCCACTTTTATGATCACCTATCACTTTTGTCAGGCCTTCACTCACATTTGTATTTCCCTTATTTTTATTCAAATTCTCCTTTCCCGATATGCTGGCAAGATCAAAAACTAAAAGCATAGGACCAGAAAATGTGCCTACATGAGACACAAACACAGAGTTCAAAAGCAAGCAAACAACTAACAAAAAAATCTGCCCAAAAAACACTGATGAGGGACTTTTATCAAAGAATCTATCTTTATGTTCTAAAGGATTCCTAGCAATTGAAAAGAAAATGAAACAATGGGAGGCGGAGCAAGATGGCGGAGGAGTAGGAGACCTGGATTTCGTCTGGTCTCAGGAATTCAGCTGAATAGGGATCAAACCATTCTGAACACCTA